GGTGCTGGGGGATTGAACCGCGGTCCCTGATGCTTTTGCTAAGCTTGTTCCAAGTAGGTGCTTTAGACCACTGAGCCATCTCTCCAGCCCCTATTTTGTTATTTTTTAATGTATTTGGTACAGAGTCTCACTGCACAGCTCAGACTCAGTGATCCTCCTGTTTTCAGCCTCCCCAGCACTGGGATTACAGGTGTGGGCCACCATGCCCAGTCCTGTGCATTTGGGGGTGGAGCTGGCATGGCATGTGGTTCCAGGGATCAAACCCCGGTCCCTGTGCTTGCCTAAGCAGGTGCTTAGTGTGCTGAGCTATCTTGCCAGCCCTTCTATCAAAACTTTAAAGGTGCAAACCTTTTAATCTAGCAATCTCCTCTACCAGAAGTGTGCCCTGCTGAAACACTGGCTTATATATAGGGAAATCCATTGCGCTATTACAGGTGGTAAGAAATTGAAGCCAACCGAAATATCCATCTACAGGGGAATAGCTGGCTTATATGTGACACACTAAGCTATTATGCAGCAGCATGACACACATCAGAGAGGGGACATCAGGCCATGTGCCTGGGGAGGACAGCCACAAGGTAGTGCCCTTTATTTACTGATGTAATCAATAAAACCTAGCCTGGGGAGATACCATGGGACAATACAGAAAATAGAGACTTTCAAGCCAGAAGACTTGTTACATTCATGCATACAAGTAGACCTTCGGGCTGCTGAGATGGCTCAGTGGTCTAAGGCACCTACTTAGAACAAGCTAAGCAAAACAAAGCACAGGGACCGCGGTTCAATCCCCAGCAACACATGCCAGCCAGCCCCGCCCCCTGGTGGGCTGAGCTGGCCACACACACACAAAATAAATAAATAAATATTAAAAAAAAAAAAAAAAAAGAAAACAAGTAGACCTTCTCTGGGTCCTTATCTGAAAAAAATCGACTATGTACAAGAAAAAGTTCATGAGATCAAAGGGAAAAGGAAAATGCTGTCTAGATAATTAATGCTTTTTAATTGATGCATGTGTTTAACTCCCACAGTCTAAAGAGACAACATGTAGATTGGAAGAAAGAATTTTCAAGCCATATATCTGATAATGGGCTAACATACAGAATAGAAAAGGAACTCAATAACAAGAAAAGAGCCCAGTTAAAAAATGGGCAAAGACTTTAAATAGATATACCTCAAAACTGACACCGAGAGCTGGAAAGATAGCTCAGCAGTCAAACTGCCTTCCTGACAAACATAAGGACCTAGGTTGGGTCCCCAGTACTGCATGCTGTACCAGTCCTGTGCCATGCTGGCCACTGAAACCGGGCATGGTGGTGCATGCCTGTAATCCCAGCACTGGGGAGGCTAAGACAGGAGGATCACTGTGAGTCCAAGATGCGTAGTGCGACCCTGCACCAAATAAATAGATCTTTTAAAAAATCACATGCAACCGGCCAGCAGATGTGAAAAATTCATCTGAATATGCATTTATGGATAATGTATATTATGTATGTGCATTTATGAGGAATTGTTATGCATAGTTTAGTTATGTGTTATTTTATAATATATTTAGGCATTCTGTCATTGCAGGAAGTCTTCTACATAGTTTTCTCCCACTTTTGCTTCAGAACCCAAACTCTGTGTGTGTGTGTGTGTGTGTGTGTGTGTGTGTGTGTGTGTGTGTAGTCTTACATGAGTGTGGGATATTGCCTGCCAAGTTGTTTTTTGGTTTTTTTGTTTGTTTTTGTGGAACTGGGAATTGAACTCAGGCCCTTGTGCTTGCCAGGCAAGCGCTTATTCTATTGAGCCATCTCCCCGGCCCCTTGCCAGGTTGTTAATGTACAGTGCCATTCAGGAATGTGATCAGAGGCAGGAGGGAGTGAGTTTTCTTTTTACTATATCATTTTTCTGTTATTTCAATTGATTGCATTAAACATGTCACTTTTGTTTTTTTGAAAGGTAAATATAAAATGATCTTTATTTATTTTTTCCATAATTTTATTGAGAAACAAATAGCAATGAGACAGTTTTAAACCAAATTGGTAGGACAGTTTCAATAATTAACACATTGCATACATTCTTCCTAGTGGTTAATTGCTGTACAAGACGCAGACATGATATTCTATTTACAAACACCATTAGAGCAAATCTCTCTATTCTTTAAGAGAATGTTTAACTATATATTTATCCTAACCACTTTGAATACACAGATACAAAATGAACATTCATCTGCATCCCCTTGTTTGTTAAGTTCTGTTATTTGAATATTATAGGTGTGTAAACTCAGCAAAATATTCTAAAAGAGTCCAGTAGCCCATAATAGTACTGGGTCTTCCGCTTGACTGGCAATGTCAGAAATTGTTGACCTGAGTCCCCTACAGCTCAACATAACAGCACGGCTTTACTTCTTATATTTCATTTTTATACTTTTCTGCTGGATGGTTAAGACCAAGGTAAAGCAGGACCTATGCAACAAGAGTTGTAGCTTTTGGGTCTGATAAGGTCAGTAAAATTCCCTCAGGATTTATCCTGAGATCCTGTACCTCAAATGGTAGAACCTTTGTCAGTGTAAGCATGTCACTTTTATGATTTTAAAATTTCATATTTATAAATGCTATTTGACTTCTTCCTCCCCCCTGTAACACACTTGCTAATGAGCCAGGACAAGAGCCTCAGCTCAGTGCATGGTGGTCAGGATGGCCTCTTCTGTCCCTGCTTGGGGCAGTGCCACCACCATTAACCAAGGGACTGGAGTCCAGCCTGGCGGCAGGCCGGGCACAGCCAGCCATGTAGTGTGGCCACTCACATCAGCATGAATCATCTCAGGGAATTGGGGCTGGTGGATTTCAGGTCCCTGGTGTTCATGGTGCTGTTCTGGGCACCCAATGCGGCAATGTAGAATCTGAGGTCTCCTCCTGCTTGTCCCTGGAGATCCCCAGTGACCTGCTCCATGGTGGCTTCTAACCACATCACTTCTTTCCCTGCAGGTACTACATGAGGCCTGTTGGCCCTCTCCATGTGCTTTCTGGTGAAGAGGAGCTACCACAGGACTCCCCCCATTCTCCTTTGTTGGCCCCCGCGTCCCTTGAGTCCCACACACCACCCCTACGGCCCATCCTAAAGAAGACCGCCGGCCTGGGCTTCTGCATCGTCTACCTGTTCTTCATCACTTCCCTCATCTTCCCTGCCATCTCCACCAATATCGAGTCCCTCCACAAGAGCTCAGGCTCTCCATGGACCACCAAATTCTTCGTGCCCCTCACCACCTTCCTCCTGTTCAACTTCGCTGACCTTTGCGGCCGGCAGGTCACAGCCTGGATCCAGGTGCCGGGCCCCAACAGCAAGGTGCTCCCCGGGCTATCACTGCTGCGCACCGGCCTTGTCCCGCTTTTCGTGCTGTGCAACTACCAGCCCCGTGTCCACCTGACCACAGTGGTCTTCCAGTCCGACATCTGCCCTGTGCTCTTCACCTGCCTGCTGGGGCTGAGCAACGGCTACCTCAGCACCCTGGCTCTCATCTACGGGCCCAAGATTGTGCCCAGGGAGCTGGCCGAAGCCACTGGGGTAGTGATGTCCTCTTACATATACCTGGGCTTGATGCTGGGCTCTGCCTTCTCCGTCCTGCTGGAGCACCTCATCTAGGAGAGGCGGCAAGAGCATCAGTGCTGTGTGAGGCTCTGGGTCCCTGGGAGATGGGGCAGCGAAGCCAAGGGCTCACAGGGCGTGGAGGAAAGGCTGGCGTTTCTTTTGGTGCAGAGAGCAGGGCATAGTTGGGCCTCTGCCCTCCCAAGATGCCAGTGAGTGTTGTTCTTGCCCATCCTGTGCAGGGAGAAGCATTCCAGATGCTTGAACAGAACTCGTTAGGGACAGATGGAGAAGACTATTACGAAAAGGGTACCACCTTCATAGCTGACAGGACACCCTCCAGTGTTGGAATCTGAGTTGTCACCAGTCCGGAGCCCAGTGGGGATGCTCTGTATTCTCTCAGAAAGATGGGTGAGATTCTCAGTGCTCCTTTCTCTGATGGCGCCCCCTAGAGTGGGGTCCCCCCCACCCCCCGGGATGGCCAGTCCTCAGGCTCAAGTCCCAGCCTGCACAGACCCTAGTTCTGTGGGTAAGTGGGTGCCCACCAGCCAGCCTGGAAGGCCCAGATAGATGGGCCCTGCTGAGTCCTTGCTGCCCTCCCAGGCTCTGGAGGCCTCCCTGTGCCAGGCTGTGAGCTTGCCAGGCTGAGTTAGGTTCATCATGGCCTGGTAGGTTTCAGCCTGGGCCAGGGTAGGGTCTTTTTTTTTATGTGGAACAAGGGATTGAACTCAGGCTATTGCACTTGCCAGGCAAGCACTTATTCTACTGAGCCATCTCCCTGGCCCCAGTGTATGTTCTTTTAATGTTTACATTTACAACCTGTCAAAGCCATTGGTTCAAGGGCTCAATAAACCCTGGAGTCTTCATTATAGCCTTACTATATGTGTATTGGTCAGGGTCCTGGCAAGAAACCACATGCTAGGATTGGGCCATTTGGGGACTGCTCCTTCTATCAGTATGCGCTCGTAGTTCAGAGGGTTTGCACTCCTTGTGGGAAGTTGGTACACATGTGTAACTCTCATCAGCTTCCCTCCCCCCTCCATCCCTTGGTCTCCTCCCCCTTCGCACAAGCTCTACCTCTTGAACCATCAAGGCCGGTGTAGGAGCCCCAAGGGGTGGTGTGCACTGCAGTAACAGTCAAGCTCTTCCCCTCAGGCCTGAGGGTAGAGGGCAACGAGTGACCCTGAAGCCTGAAGAGGTGACCTTGTGGTCCTGGGGTGAGGAGGGTCACGTCCAGCCTGCTGAACCCACAGAACAAGCTGAGGATACTTTCTTGCCCTGCCTCGTGTTGTCCCCTCTGTGTCCCTGAGGACTTACCACAGTCAGCAGCAGGTGATGAAGGTGATAGAGGGAGTGGCCAGGGGCCTGGGAGGTAAATAAACTGTAGCCCAGGGCATCACAGCCCAGCTGGCAGCTGGGGTTTCCCAGGTTCCCAGTTGATAGGTGGCAGCAGGGCTCCAAAGCTTTGCTGGGCAGAACTCAGCTCATTTCTGGTAGTTGTCAATGTGAAGGGTGGCTTCCAAAGCTGGCAGCCTGACATGAACAGGATTTGTTTTCTGAGGTGACTTGAAGGCACCCACAAGGGTATTCCTCAGGAAAAGAGCTCCTTTGGGACCAGAGAGACAGAACTGAATCAGTCCATGAGCTCTTCCTCCAGATCATCAGGCAGCTCCCAGAAGTGGTGGCCCCAAGAGCTGTGAAGGAGCCCTGGCCTCCAGGAAGGCTGATCTGAGGTGTCCTGTAGACAGCTGATTAAACGGGAAAGCAATGGTAATCCACCCGGTGGCAGCGGCTTATGTCCCCTCCGTCGCAGTCTGGTTCACACTGTGTCTCCGTGGCTGCAGAATTGAAACGGACACCCTTGACAGGTTTTCTCAACTTGATACCTACTTTAAAAAGGAAAAAAAGAAACACTTCTCCCTCCCCTGGCAGGAGCCAGGCCCCCTCCCCATGGGGTGGCTAATTTGGGGCATGGGTCTAGCTCGTGTCTCATGTGGCACAGATTACCCTGGAGAGAACGGGAAGGAGCAGTGGGCAGCCCACATGCTGCAGGGCTGCGTGGCCAAGGTGGAGGAGGTGGCCTTGAAGAAGTGATTCAAAGTCAGCACAGAGCGAAGGGGCAAGAGGGTACAGCCTGCAGGGATGATGCACGCACCTTGCTGGAAGGGTGCTGCCTGCCGTGCTACTGTGTTGGGCATATCACAAAGGGACAGAAAGGAAAAAGTACATGTCCAGGCCAAGGGGACCTTTGGCATGCTTTGCAGCTTGTGCCACTATGAGCCCCCCACTCTGGGCTTGAGTCTCATGTGACTGCAGTGAGTTTGTGAAACCGGCTTGAGCCATGGCAAAACTCGCTAAAGGGAAGGAGACTTGGCCGTGTGGGCAGAGGCTGCTCTGAGCCGTTCCCCCAAGCAGTGGTCACCAGGCAAGGAAGGCCTTGTGTGTTTCCAGGCTTGACACCTATCTCTTCCTCCTTTAATCAACAGAAAAAGTCAGGTCCTCTACAAAAATGCTACTTCCTGTATGCTTGGACAGAAGGGACCCGAGAACCTGGCATGGGTGTCCAGATGCCTTCATCTGTGACCAACACAGTGCTCCAGGGAGGTGAGGGGCTCTGCTGCCTGGGGAGGATGGCATGGAGCCTGGCTTCAGGAGCACATGGACACCATCCTAGAAAGCTCCGAGTAGAAATGGGATTGGGGGCAAGCCCCAGTGGCACTTAATTTAGGCTGCGCCTGTGCTGGTCCTACTCTGGGCCTGCAGAAGTCACAAGCACCTATTGTACCACCCTTATGTCCTGGTAACAGCATGGGCAGTGCCAGCTGTATCCCAAGCCCAACACCCACATGCTGGTCCTGAGACCAGCCTGAAACTCAGGCCAGCCTTTCCCCTGGGAGAATCCCAGGAAGCATTTCTGTCCCACCAGCAAGTGGAAGGTGGGACCAGCCGTGAGGCCAACAGACCCAGGGTATATCGCCTGCACTATTCCCTCCTCTGTGGATAGACATGACAAGGCTCAGTGAGGTTAAATAACTTTTCCAAGGTCACCCAGTTAGTAGATTAGGAATAGAGGTTTGTTTTTTTTTATGTATTTAGCACAAGGCCTCACTACGCTTCTCAGACTCAGTGATCCTCCTGTTTTCAGCCTCCCCAGCACTAGGATTACAGGGATCCGCCACCACACCCAGTCTCCATGAGGGGCTTATCACACTAGGGGGCAGGGCCAACATGGCATGTGATGCTGGGTATCAAACCCTAGTCCCTGCGCTTGCCTAAGCAGGCACTTAGTCCACTGAACTATTTTGCCAGCCCAGGAATGGAGCCTTTGAAACTCCATCTTTGGAAACTCATCACCTGCCTGGCCCTCTGCTGCCCTGGTTGAGCTGGAATTTTCTTTTTATTTCTGGACTCCAGTCATTCTTTGCCTCACACCATGGCCTGGCTGGGGTTTGGGTGGGTAGAGGGATTTCCCAAGCCATGGCACTGGCCCTGTGTTAAGGTTTGTGTCTAGATATCCCCCAAAGCCTTAGCAGTCATGGGGCTGCTTCTGGAGTTTGTGATTAATTATCGTGGGTGTGAGTGCTGTACCCACCCTGGGGTGTAAGGAGGGGAGAGAGGCTAGTGAGCTGCCCAAGCTGCTGCTACTCCCTTTGCTCTCTGCTCTTTGCCACAGCCATGAAAGGTTGCTCTCTGCCATTGCCACTCTGCCTCTGAGTATGGACTGGAACCTCCAGTAACTGTGAGCTAAATAACCCTTTCCTTCCTTCATTTTGGGTGTCAGGTATTTGTCCCAGCAAGAGAGAAGAGTAACTGATACCCTGGCTGGAGTGGAGCCGATTAGTGTAGCTGGCCAGACACCTGCCAGATGGGACCCTGTGGATCCCAAGCCTGACCCACACCAGGCAGGCAGAGGAACTTGGGCTGCTATCAGGCATGGTCCTGTCCATCCAGTCCTTAACCTGGCCCCTCTGGGTCCCTTCATCCCTCCTCCCCATACCACTGTTTTCTGCACAAGTCACTTAGGCACGGCTAGCTGCTGGTGGGACAGTCTTGGAGGCCAGAAAGTCTTGTTCTTAGCCCCATCAGGTGCAAGCTGAATCTGTCTTGCCATCTTATTTGTCTGTGCATGCAAGGCTGGGGATAATGGTAAGTTCCAGAGTTGTGGTTGTCTGAATGCTACTGAGCCAGCTTGTCACCCCATGTCATCCCCCACTGTGCAGCCCACACAGGCCAGGCCTGGGTCAGTGACTCAAGGACAAGTGACAAGCCCCAGGCTGTCCTGAGCTTGACCCCAAAGGACAGTGACAAAAATGCCCATGTTCTCTGTCCCCATGACTCCATCCAGCTGGCCTACTTGCCCTGCACAGCCCCTGAGGACAATTCCTGCCTTTGGCATCAAGTTGAGGAGTCCTGGGGCCACTGTACGGGCATAGACAGTCACAAGCATCAGTTGCCAGACCGAAGTTGGGATGCTGTTCCTATCACCTCCCCACTGGGTCACTTTGGCTGCATTCTGCTGAAGGCTGGTGCTATAGAAAAATTAAACGAGCCCAGTCACGTATGGGACAGTATTTGGTATATCTTATGTCCTCACAAACTTGACTTTCTTCCATATTTTACTGCTGCCAGCAGCTTGTTGTGGTGCCCTGGTGCTTCCCTGTGGCTGACTGTACCCCATACTTGGTGCTCAACCCCACCCTTTGCTGCCTGTGTCACCATCTCCAATTCTGCTGTCCAGGTCCCTTGCCTCAGTCTGCCAGCCCAGACGTCCCTGACCTGGAGGCAGGGCACACTGGGAGGAAAGCTGGAAAGCTGCAAACCCAGGTCAAGCTGTGCCACTCACTTTGTCCTTTGAGGACTCTGCTTCATTTTTTCCCCTAAGCCTCACCCCAGAGGCCGGCCTGTCTCCATCGTGAACACAGGCATGAGCACAGGTGCCCTTTAAAAACTGGCCATGTCCAGGGTGGTCATGAGTCTGGGCTGTAGAGGCAGATGGCCTAGGTTTGTGCCGTCACTGCTTCCTGGGAGCGTGGCCACAGGCACCTTCAGTTCCCAGCTCCTGTTTCTCTGTGGTGCTGTGGTCCTGGCCTTGTCCTGGGTTTCTGTGTAATGCACAGAAGGTGCTGAGAATGAAGCTGCAATAAGCTGAAAGCCTCCGTTCCACCCACATGTTAAAATCCTAATGCCCAAACTGATGTTAGAGCCCCCATGAAGCAGATCAGGCACTGAAACCCCTGCTGAGGGCATTAGTCTAACCCTCCTGGCAGTATGGCACATGGATGCACTAGAAAGATGAAGACAATACTCAGCAGTTGCGCTCTGCAATGACCCAGCGTTCTCTGGAAAAGAGGCCTGGTATCCAGAACCTCACAGCTTTTATTGGTATCAATCAGGGAGGTGGGTGGGGTGGCGGCAGAGTGCAAAGGGGAAAGAAACCAGCACCAGGCGTCCAATTAGCGACACACAGATAGTTCTGGTGTGTGCAAGGCTGGCACCTTCACTGCCTGGAAAGTGTAATTCTGACTGCCAAGGCCTCTGCTGAGATCTTAGCTCATGTCTTAGCCCTGGAATCTCACAGGCTCGGAGCCTCCATTCTGAGCGTCAGCACAGAGACTACTTTTGCCTGAGTGTTGCTGCTTTGCTATTAGGGAGGCCCCTGGGCCTCGGCCAGACTGCATAACATTCTTTTAGCCAATGAAAGGACATTTGTTTCAATGCAGCCAGCTCTGTATAGCTCAGTGAGTAGGGTGGAGGAGAAGTCTGGGACAGGTCGCAGCAAGGGCTTTATTTGTCAGGACAGAGAAGCATGGCAGTCTCCCACATCAGGGACCTTATAAAACAGGTTCAAGAGAGCTTCCCCATCCTT